TGACGAGAATGCACAGCAAGAAGACCAAATCGTATAAGCTAGAAATAAAGCTCCGCAAATCAATAGTACAGCAGCAAAAATCAGCAGAAATCGAACAACAATTTAAATATGGATTCTTTTAAAACCAGAAATAAATAGAGAGCCTCTTATTTCAAATCTCAGTTCCTTTTTTAAGTGAGAGTTCCGTGTGTGTCGAGTGAAGAAGAAGAAAGCACAGCAGCTGATTCTAATTTGCTATAAAGAATCGTGATAACCACTGTGAGGAGCTTCTAGTTTTCATGTAAAAAATCAAAAATCAAAAATCAAATCTTATTAGGAGCTTCTAGTTTTCAGATCTAGCTGAAACAAAAAACTTTATTTCAGATTTTGAAAGCAATCAAGAATTGAAAATTGTAGATTGTAGATTGAATTTGAAGGCAAAAGCCTTTGAAAATCGGCGAGCATTAGAAGGTAATCGCTTCCGGCTCTGACCGGTGAAAAGAGACGCCGCGTACGGCGTTTCGCTTTGACGAAGAGAAAAGAACTAATGACACAATGATACCCAAACTGCAATATACTTACAAACATGAAAGGATTTTTGTCAAAATCTTAGTTTCTTTTACTTTGAAATTTTGGAAATAATTGCACTTGGTTTTAATGTATTGAGGTGGAGCAGGAAACAACAGCAAATTTTCTTTAAACGGTGGAATTGAATTCAAGCTTTTACCCATTATTTCAATTTCCAAAGTGCTACTATAAAACCAAACAAGGAATTACAGCGAGACCTCTCTTCTGATGTTTAGGAAATGGACAAAGTCGTGCTGTATTAGTGTATTGCGGATAATGGGTCTGTGAAAGGAATGTTCAAGCTACTGCAATAAATAGTCTTCTTTGTCAATTGGCCACAACATGGACGAAAGTGAATCATATTGAAAATCTTATCCAAACTTCCATCCATACTACAGTTTCAGCCTTGAAATACGTTCTAAATAGAACTGAAGACCTCAAAGGTTTATAGTTCGTTCGGTGCCTCATTGAGAGGAAAGATCAACACTTTGGGATGACAGCATCTGGTCGAAGGAAAATGTACCAAAATCACTAATACACAACTTTTATTTTTTCCAATGAATTTCGCTCGGATAAAAAAGAGGAAACAAGAAAAAGAGGGTGGGTACAACCAAATCAGTAATCCTAGGAAATCTTTTCCTCATAGCGCACACACAACCTATGCTTTGTGACTTCGTGCCATCTCATCAACATCCAATTCAACTTCAAGGACTGGTGAATCCTTCTGGACGCTAAAGTGACTGAAAAAGCAAGACACAGATTAACCACAATCAATAAGAAAGGTTTTTTCCGATGCACAAGAAAAACAGATATGCAATAACACAACAAACCTGTTGTTAACAGGACCATGGTCCACTGCTGTCCTCAGGCAATATATAGCTCTACCAACTATGTCCGTCAAGGAAACAGGGCCAAAAGTTCTGCTATCCTTGGCTTCCTGCTATTGAGAAGACAAGAAAATAATCTAGAGTCAATCAATATTAATATAACAATAATATCTGTGCAGTTGCTATCCTTCCCCCAAAGCATGAGGAAGCAAGCCCAACTATGACTATAATATGAATAATACAGTACCATATACTCAAAAGACAAAGTCCTTTTTTTTTGTTTGTTGGGATAACCCAGAAATTCCTAAGGGTCCAGAGGCACATGAGTTGAAACCGGTGGTTAATGGACCCACCCCTCTACCCTTCTCCACTTAAATACCAGGCTTCTGTCTGCAGCAGGGTTCGAACCCGTTACATGCGCCTAATCCACACATCACGAGTTGCGGTCTTACCACTAGACCAAAGCCCTGGGGGCAAGTCAAAAGTCCTATTTTAATCTGCAGCCACGGAAAAACTGAAAACTTAGCTCAACTCTTCATCAGAAGTTTATTTCATTTAATAAACTTACCTCTTCACCATACTTCAAAGAGTTTCTCATTGAAAATGCTGAAGTTTTAGCTGAAATACACACATCTCATTATAGGTTTGTTCAGATTCACTACTCACTCTATGCAATCACCTTAAAAGAATCCCCAGAGAAGGTAAACTTAGGCCTCATTTGTTTTTTTTAAGATTAAGACGTCTGAATCTGAATACACATCTGAATATATTAAGATGTGTATTAAGATCTGAATAGAAATAATTAAGACTGTTTGATTTTTAACATCTGAATATATAAATTTATCTTTATTTGAAAATTAATAAACATAAAATTCAAATGAAATACTAACTAATCTAATATTCTATCAATAAAATATATAGTTTTTAAAAATATGATAGTTATTGGTGGTGATGGCTAACGAGTGAATGCCGACCAGAGACGGTGGTTGGTGGTAGTTTTTGGTTGATGATGGTGGTTCATGCTAGTAGCTAGTAGTGATTGGCAGTGGTGGCGATTATGATTGAGGATAGTGGTGGTGGGTGGTGATAGTTAATAATATCGGGTGGTGGTAGTAGTTGTGATTGAGGAAGGTGGTGGGTGGTGGTAGGTTATAATGATCGGCAGTGTGGTTGATGGTGATGGGGTGGTCAGTTGTGGTAGTTGAGGCGGATGAATGTTGATTGTGGGTGAGAATGATAGTGGTCGGAGTGGTGGGGATAGTAGTGGTGATGGTCGATAATGAAGGCTA